ATTGTACGACTATCATGTTATCACGTCTTTGAATGCACTTTTCAGCAGAGGATTACACTAGAGACACAACATGTCATATGTAACAAAATATAGAGAAATGAGAGCGAACGAGGAAGGAAAACATCCTCGCAAAAAACGAAGTTTTGGATTAAAAAGGAGGAGTCGTGATGGAACGAATACAATCACGACTTCTCGTCTTTCATGCAAAACTTAGATTTTTACGAAGATGTTTTCTTTGGGACTCCTTCTCATTTCTCTGTATTTTAAAATGGATATCAAGTAATAGCAACATAAGATAATGTATCTCTTTGGTTGAATATAGAGTTGAGAGGGAAGGCGAGAGGGAAATTTTCAACACTATATAAGTGAAAGTGTATGTACAGATTTAAATGTTCAAAGTTCCCTTGCCCCAAGTCTCGAGATACGCATTATCATTAATTTAAGATTTCTTTTATGTCTTCATATCATGACATCTCGCTCCAGTCTCTCTTCTAATTTATGATAAAATAGAAAAAATTATTTCTTAGCGCCTCCAAACATTACATGGATCACTTATAATCAGACGGTTGCTGAGGGATCAAAGGTGATTATCTCATGTAACGTGACCGGAAGTGATCCCATGACAATTACATGGAAAAAAGTTGGAAGTTCATCATCTCTTAGAAATGGTCCGAGTCTCACGCTCGAAAATGTGACGACCGCAGCCATTGGTGGTTATCAGTGCACAGCAAGCAATGGTGGAAAATGCGCAACGGCAACATCCAGGCCGTCCTACCTTTACGTTGTGTGTAAGTACTAGTCATGGCATACTCAGTCCAAGAACTTGTTTTTCAAAAATCTCTTCTGACACATGACAGTTTGAACTTATTAGGATCTGCAGAAGAGGGCAATTTATACATTTCAAAGCCTCCTTGAAGATCTCACCAAAAGTCATTGTTACATGCTTTCTTTGACGGAGAAAATGTGTTAACAAATTATCAGGCCATATTTTTAGTCTCACGCCCCCCACATGGCTACATACATTCGTCTCAAAAACGTGGTTTTGGAGCATTTTCTAAAAATATCAATTTTATAGACAAAAAACAGATAAGGGTAAAGTTGAACCAACTATTCAGGGAACCTATAAAATGTTTTTGGTGAAATTTCAGTGAAAAAATTCACCGTACTTTTTGAGTTGAACGTACGCAATTGGAGGCCTTTTACAAGAGAAATTACGTGACAAACCCCGGGTCGAGGTAGTGAACTCGCTCTCGTTAATTGAAATTAAACAGAACCTTTCAAAAAAAACAGAAGTGAATTTGAAATCCCCGCACTTTTGTGAACATTTTGATATAAAATACTTAAAAATCCATCAAATTTAAGCACGGTACTTTTGGCATTCTTTACAGCGTATTCACTTAAAATTGTACACTGGCCTGACAAGGCATGTATAGCTTAAATTGACTGGGAAAGCTACGTTTTTCGTGGCATTGACGTATTTATATAAGATGGTTTGTCACACTGTTCTGATTATCATGAGCTTGGCAATGCTTGCTTTTTGTATGGCTTTTTGTATCCCGGCCTCAAAACGATCAATGGTTCGAGTGGAGATCAATTTGAGACAAACGATAATTATTCGGAAAATACTGAAGCAAATTCTTTTACCTTAACGATGACTAGTGAGGGCAGCGAGCAGCACTAAGGAGAACTCTTTGAATAGCTGTGAACTTTGTTTATTTCCTACGCGTTTCGTCGAAGGGAGACTTGTTCAGGGAATAATTTTGAACAACTAATTAAGCAGCAATATTTAAGTTTTGTTAAGGGTGTTTAAATGAAACCTTCTGGGGAAGTGACTGAATTCTTACAATGCTGTTTTGGGATGTGAATAACAACGTCGTGAATGTTATTGTGACAGTTTTTAGCGCTTATCGCATGGTCCCGAAAATGACTTACTTACACAGATGAGCTAAAGTAGGAATATTAATTTTTTACCAATCAAAGGTGTAACTGTGTTATATGAAAAAGATGGAGTGGTACGACACATGTCGCTATAAATTACGCCGCCGAAAAGTGTACTGTATGTTTTTGTATTAATTTTGCGGTGACTGGTTTTGTTATATATTAAATGCACTTTATATCTTGAATATTAATTTTTCCAACATATTCTTTCTTCAGACAAACCTAAGGGCACCAACCTTACCATGTCTACTAACAGCACATTATGTCTTGATGATCTTATATCTTTGGAGTGCACAACTGACGCTGATCCACCAGCTCATCAGTATTTGATTTATGTGAACGATGAACTATTAGAAACATTCAATACAACACGAATATCGTTCAATACTTCAATTGCTGGTAATAACACATATAGATGTCAGCCCGAAAATACAGTAGGATTGGGAGAGAGTGCAAGCATCTTGATCAATACGAAAGGTATATGATTGTATTGGGTTCTCACAACATAGTCGTATTGGCATGAGTATCACTGCGTTGCAACTGGAAAAGTTCGTTTGGAAAGGAAGACCAATTCAAAGATTGACGGAGAACAATTTCAGATAGCAATTGTTCCAAACTGTGAGGCCATGGATGATTCTTTTGTATTGCTGTACGAGCAAAAGGCTACTAGTTAACATTCTCCGTCATTTTCCGAATTGGTCTATCTTTTCGGGTTTTTTTGTATTGAGTTGGGAACGGATCACGGCGTAAATCCGCTAGATATGTAGAGTGATCGCACTATGAGATGTTATGAGATTATTCAATAATCAAATAGATCTGTAATAGTTCTGCAACTTAAGCATAATTGGGCGAGCATGGCAGCATAATATGGCAGCATTTCCTAAGTTTGCTAGCATTTCTAGTTTTGCTAGTTTTCATCGGAATGTGGACATAGATTGATTGTTTAATAGTCATCTATTATTTCTATATCATGTTTCTCGTAGTGAATTGCCGTAATCATATTCATGTTCTAACAAAAAGACTAGTTAATTTTATAGTCACGTCTTAGAGTCTCCCTACAATAGTTTTAGGTGATCTTCACCGTTCTGTGAAAACCAATCTAGTTCAAACAAAATTACTGGATTTTTACAGATTTAGTAAAAGTTTCCAATCAAAATACAAGTTAGCAGAATCAGATCTACATTCAATAATCAAATCGATTTTATGATTATCGATTTTATTGATWCAGCTCCTCCCAATATAACATGGATCACTCCCAATCAGTCCACTCCYGAAAAGTTTGAAACCGTTGTGATGTGCAACGTCAGTGGCAGTGCACCAATGAACATCGCTTGGAATAAATATGGATCTTCATCGAATTCCTTGCTCAGCAGCGAGGCCAATCTAACCTTTAACTACCTAATGAGGAAACACGAAGGAACGTACGAGTGTACKGCAAGTAATGGCAACGAATGTCCTATCATGCAAGCAACAACCTCCATACATGTCATGTGTAAGTACGACGTACATAATGCATTGTCCAAAATATATTATCACTGATCACTCGTACATTTTAGTGCTTATTCTTGGTTAAAMAAATAATAACTTTTGGGATCACTTTTTAGGGACATATTAAAAACAGTCACAACAGAAAAAGAAATTAAACATGTAAAAATAGTTTTATTATTAGGACCTATTAGTATTTTTTATCATTCGTTTAGTTGATAAAGATATCCGTTGAGTATAACGGTAACTTTGAGTGTATTTAGATAAGCATCCCCGATAGTATCTTTATATCTTTTGACATTAAGGAAGTAGTAATTCCTTCAAGGTTGAAAATATCGTACTTGAGGCAACATTGATGAAAATATCGTCTAACGAGTTCCTGAAATATCCTCAGATGAACCAACAGYCACTATCGTCGAACGATCCCTTACACTGAAAGAGAAAGATGRCATAGATCTTACATGCAAAARTGATGGAGACCCTAAGCCAAACATCACTTGGTCACGTGGCAATGTCATTCTTGGCACAAATGAGAAGCTCATTCTATCAGCACAGAAGAGTGAGCCRGGGTTGTATAAATGTACTGCTAGCAACGGTATTGGAAAAGATCAAACAGCTACTACAAACGTGATTGTTAATGGTAAGAATGACTATGGCCGCGCCAATAACTAGAATATTATTGAAGATATTCAAGAGACAGTTATCAAATCTTTAGTTTAAAGCTATGAAAGCGCTGTATAGAAATATTAAATTTTCTTGAAGTTATGAGGTTCATTAGGAGAGGAACAAAATATCAGATCGGAGGCTACGAAGGAATAACAAAATAATTTCATGCAAACCCTTGTGTTTTCATTCCTCCGTAACTTSKTTAGCATTTTATCTATAGCTTTAAAACTTTCTGCAAATGCCTATTTTTTGTTAGATCTCCCATATCATAGTCAGTGCTTTACGTTTTTAGTATATAGTTTTTATATGGTCCAGTGGTTTGGGTATTGGGCCCACAGGCATGGGTTCGATTCCCAGACGGGGTGATCACGTTGTGTTCTTGGGAAAGACACTTAACTCTCTCAGTGCCTCGTCTTCTCGGAAAAGCCGGAGTTCCCGTCTCTTTACACTTCTCATTAGCAGCGGATAGACGTTCAAGAACCCACACCACTATTCGACTAAGAGTAGGTCACGGTGTTCCCGGTGGTGTGGCCAGGGCGCATCTCACCAGCATTGAGGTGGGCTTGGCAGATTACGTTCGTATAAAGGTTACGTAAGAGTTATATACCGAGAACGGAGGCAATCAGCCTATACATCCCGAGGGCCGTAGGCCCGAGGGATGTATAGGCTGATCGCCGACGTTCGAGGTATGTAACTGGCTTATTTCATACTTGAAGAAGTTTTCCAAGCACTGCATTAATATTTTCATTTTTAACTCGGAGATTGCATGCGTTAGCAATCGTAGAGTTATTGTAGGGGAACGATATGTCACTCACTAAGTCACTCACTCACTTCTAGTAAACTAAAAAACCGCTGCGCATGCGCGAAGTTTCAAAAACAAAATGGCGGACGAAGTAGGCTTGATTGAAGGCAACCTTCGGAGCTTAAAAAGTACGGCATTTATGGCCTTGTTCTCTTTGAAATTCCCATCAATATAAGGTCTGCATATCTTCTTGGTATTCGAATGGTTTTGGACGCTCAACATTATATGTATCGCAAAAGCTTTAGCAATGAAGAGAGGTCTTCTCTCGAAAATCGAAAAGAACTTGCCGACTGACGGCAGGTGATAGTTTTGCCAAATATAAGCTCCTTTATGCAGATATAAGATTTTGATGGTCTTAAAATGTTTTTAAGGCTTTTTCCTACAAAATATCAAAAAGTTCGAGTACTGTCAACATTTCATATTTCTAAACGATCAAATACGGTCTTCGTTCATCTATCAGGTCTTTTGAGTATGATTATATTTCAAAACTTCATACTTATGTATTTGACATCCATTTAGGTTAACTAATAAAGGTGTGCATAAAACAAACTTCTTGCTTTTTGGTGTTAGTTGTCTAAGTTCTGCAGAGTTTATGGCTCTTTTGTGTGTATTTTTTAGCATGGAGCAAATTTATCATAGAGCAGGCTGGAGAGCTACAAGATATGACACCAAGATATAACCAAGATATAATGGATTGTAGGAGAAAACTGAAATGGTTTCACAACAAAGCTATCTTTTATGGTTTTGACACTGTTTGCCTTTGTTACTTTCACTACAACAAAATAGTAATTAAGTCATGTTGTTATCCATTTAAAAGTGAAAAATGTTCAAAAACCTCACAAMTTGAATGTCTTGGAATCACTTTAAGTAGAAGACAAGCCTACATTTGCACTAAGCACTTAAGCGAATCTTCAGACACTGCACAGAAAGATAAAAACTGATCCATTGTATGAACCTTTTGCTCATAGTATTGTTAGTACAGAGCAATATTTTTGAGTCTTTAATCCAATTTAGAGAAGTACAGATGACCAGACGCCTGCAGACGAATCTATAACAAAAGCTCAAACATTAACACAAGAAAATGAATCACTAAAGGGAAACTCTGAAAAATGAAAAGAAAAACTGTCTTTCAGTTGAAAATAGAAGCAGAAGAGGTGAGAGAAAAACCATCTATTGAAAGAAAAAAAAATAAAAATATAACCAGAAATTATTGTTACTACATGTACACAGTATCTTATTTTACTATAGTCAATCAGTGTGTTTTAGCCTGCAAAGATGTTGAATCTATAGACCTATTTTTTAGTAAAGAAAATACTAGTGTTACTGCATCTTATTTTTATGATTTTTTCACGATCACCTATTACATGTTTTTGCAAATAAATAACTTATCTAMTGTGTTAATAAAATGCTCAAAATACAGCTGACCATCTTGCATAAGCAGCTCTCACAATCTCCGAGTTATGTTGCCATTGGCAGCTTGATTGAATAGGCAAAGAAGCCGTTTTCATATGAATTAAAACCAAAACCTCGATTAGAAAGGTTACGMAATTTACAGTATTGATAATTCCCAACGGGAATAATTTGCATAACCATTTTTCTCGTTAGTCCCATGAGACCAAGTAACTGGACAATGTTAAATAACTGTTTTATTCCATAATTGACATCGATTAGTCAGTTAGAATAACGTGTTAAGTATAGGATTTTCAATGCTAAGGTTGTGGGTTCGAATCTACTTGGTGTCATTTGAATTTTTCTTTCTCTCTTTCAAGCTCTTTTTCAAGTTTAAAGTTTCAGACGGAAAATTTCCAAGTTGAACGTTGTAGTTAATTAGGTATTCAAGGGCAATATACATTAGTATTCAAGGGCAATATATAGATATTGCCCTGAAACTTCGATATAAAGCACTTGAATACACAATGAGCTGTGGAATAAGCGAGATCCAACACTATGAATAACAAAGAAAACTGAATCAAGTATGAAATAATAGTCAATAAGTAATATATACAATATGAGCGGGCGATCTGTATGAGGATTTAAAACAGCGAGCTGAAAGCGAGCTGTTTTAAATCCTCATACAGATCGCACGCGAATATTGTATATTACTTATGAAACGTTAAGGTAAATTAGCTCAGGTTTTAAAGAAACTTTTGAAAAAAAATTCAATCTGACTCAGAAAATCAGAGTAAAAGTTTATGCAAATGAACAAGAAATCTGTATGTAATATACAACTCTCTTCATGGGCTATGATTTCTATTGTGTTTTGCCTTATGAATATTAATGAGTTTTATAAGACCTCATACTAATATACAGCTAGTAACCCTATGAACAGTGCTGAGCGCTGGAGCTATCAGTGTAGATGTACATTGATTAACTATCTATACCTCACTGATTTGAGTTATTTTTGGTCATTTTACATATCAAGTAATACACAACGTTTGTTAAAATTTCTGTCAAACAAGAATTATCAAAATACGCATACTCAGCAATATCTGCAGCAACAGTAATYGATTTTTAATTCCCAGTTTGTCAAAGCGAATGTAAGAATAACGCGACGTGTCTGCGCACTGGGACAACATTTCGCTGTTCTTGTCTTCGTGGCTTTCGGGAAAGATTTTGCCAAGTTGTTGGTAAGTACATTACACTCTCTCCAACTCTCCTCCAAATTAACTGTTTATTTGGCCTCGGGCCGATTGTACGGAGCAGGGCGAATAAAGTTATCTACCCGGACAGCTTAAGCTATGTATGGGCTTTATTGCTGGATGAGCATTTATCCGGAAAATAGCGATATATTCACCCTTCGCACAACAGGCTTAGGTGTAGTTTTCTCGTGCTATCGTTTAGCGTAACTTCTTCAAGATACATCATAAAATATCAAAAGAATGTTC